GTTTCTGGAGTAGAGAGAGAGGAGTTGGGAAAAAGTTCATCCTTAGGAAGAAAGAAATCAGGAGGAAAAATGATGGGGTCAAAGTTGTTGGCTATCAAAAGATCATTCATCATCGTTGGATAGTTGGCACTTTTAAATGCTTTATGACAGTATACAGCAGTGAGCACAATGGTCTCAAGGATATTAGATTGTTTTGAGGATGAAGAGGCCGAGGGAAGGTTGGTTTGTGCAGCAGCAGCATAGGAAGGATGAGTTGTAGAAGTGGTAGCAGGAGGAACATAAGAGTTTGGTTGGTAAGTGGATGAGAATGTTGTCTGTGTTTGTGAGCGTGGAGTCAAGACTGGGTTTGGGAGGTTCAGAGGTTGGTCTTTCCGTAATGAAGAAACATAATCCTTACAAGTAGGGCAGTTGAAAGAAGTAGCAGAATGTGCCTGAGAACAGTGCAAACATTTTAGAGTGTTGGAACATTTTTGCCATGTGTGGCCTGGAGAAGAACACTTGGAACACAGCTGTTGCTTGTCACAAGTATTCTTTAGATGTCCAAACTCAAGGCATTTGTAGCACTGATGAATAGCGACATAGTTAGGTAGAAACAATGAAGTAGGTGGAATAAGAAAGTAGTTAGCTCGAACACCATGTTTGAACAGTTTATCAGCCTCATCAGGAGTGGAACATCTGATCTTAAGGATATTAGAGCGTTCAGGATGGAAAAGTTCCTCAACTGTGACTTGATTTTGAGTTGAAATGTCTGTCATCAAGGCGTCTTTGTTCTGGGTGTAATCGTTTAGCAGTGATGAGTCAACAAATTTTGCCACGACTGTACTCCTGGAAGTGTGAATTGCTCATTACTCTATAATTTGTTCATGATTGTAGCCGAAGTATAAACGTAAGTAACCATTCTACAGAATTCATTACCTTTGTAACTTGTGAGCTCATTACCTTTGTACCTAGTTCAGCTATCAAAACTTTGGGGGCCCAGTCCCTGGACCCATTACGTACCTCTGTAATCTGTAAATACCTTTGTAACTTGTCATGATTGTGACCCGACTTACCTGGAGTTCATTACCTTTGTAAATTGTGAGTTCATTACCTTTGTAAATTGTGAGTTCATTACCTTTGTAAATTGTGAGTTCATTACCTCTGTAACTTGCTCAGCTATCAAAACTTTGGAGTCCAGTCCCTGGACCAATTATGTACCTCTGTAATCTTTTGACTACCGCCCACAGGATGGGTATGGGGTGCATAATAAACATATTAAACTAACTAACTAACTAACTGTACTCCTGGCCTTTTGATCAGGAGCCCAATCGATAGCAAAACCTGCCTGAAAGAGCTTTTCTCGGACTTCCTTACTTGTACATATGTCATAGTTGACAGGATCAAGATTAACCTTACATCCGGTATGAGTCTTGAAGATGTTTATCATTCGAGCCTGGGTAATATTGAAAAAGGTAGAGGCATAGTCAATCGTATCCTTGTCAGCTTTAGAATACTTTAACATCAAGGCCATTGTCGGAAAGCTGGGTCTCTGTGCAGTTGCCATGATTTAACTTTAGTTGTTTTACTCTGTCTTCAGCATTCATCATTTCCAATTATTGTAATTCATCCTGGCCTACATGTTCTCTTGGACCCAGGACCAGGATGAACCTTACCATTGTGTTTTGAGTGATTTGCAGTTTATCTTCCAGTTTTTTTGTCAAGGCAGAGTACCATGAAGAGCAAGGTAGTTCATAGGACATTGTACAAGGGCTATACATAGTGTCCTGCCAGTCTCAGTAGGTAGACATTGTGCTTGTCTGTACAGGAACTTCAGTCTGACATTCCCTTTCTTTACTACACTGTTCCCTTTCAGTTCTCCTGACCTACATGGGTCAAAGGGGATTCCCAGATATTTTACAGAGTGGAAATAAGTCACTTTGACTTTTTTTTGGATTATCCTAGGTAATGTACACATGCTGCCATGTATGTAACTGTATTTATGTGTATCTGTACCTGAGTAAACTTACTTATAATGTTTGTTATAGTTATTGTTAAAAGAGTATCATTTTCTAACATGAGTATCCCTGAGGGTCACTAAACGTGGCAGCTGGTGAAGCACCAGGATAAACTTGTATAAATGTTTAGAGTTACAGTGTTGATGTGTGGTTTAGCGCTTCTTTTTGATTATAATAATAATAATGCAGTGTTGATGGTCGTGTGAAATCACCAGTGATCCTGGAGATATACGTCATTAAGAAACTTATCAAAAATGTCTCTTCAAAGTTGAAATATATATATATATATATACATATATATATACATACAATATTTTTAATAGGTTGGGTACTGGAAGCTGTAGAACATGCCAGTCAAGTGTCTAACTCCGTGAGTACTGGTAGACTTATTTTCTTGGGAAGTGAAGTGTAAATAAGTGTATTTAGGTACAGGTACACATAAGTACAATTATCATACACTATGTCAAATCCGTAAGATAATCCCCACCAAAAAAGTCAGGCTGATTTTCATTGACGGCCTTCAATTGGGTTGGTTCAGTAAGTTTATTTAGATACAGGTACACATAAATAGTTGCACAGATTATCACACATAAGTAACATATAGGTAAGTTAGCTATATGTGATTCGAGGTGTTGAACCTCTCCTCTCTTTCCTCGGATCAAACCTGAATGCTTCCCAATCCCCATGAATGTAATAATACTAATACGAATATATGAGAGAAAACAGGAAATTTTGAGATATAATAGTACACATCGACGAAGATACAGATAATGGTTACACATAAATAATAAAAATATTATATATTTAATATTACCTATATAGTATATATCAATAGCTGTTAATCTATTTATGGTTAAAGCACATGCAGATCGAGTTACAGCTCCTGGGCCCAACCTTGTCGCAATCGACCGGCTTTATGTTAGTCTTTAAGCTGCTACCGTACATGCATCTGAAACTGCTTACTGATTTTGTAAATACTTCATTACTACTGTGTGGAAGATATTGCTGTGACTAAGACATCACTACTTGGGGCATCATACCTCACTTGAGGAGGCAAGTGAATTTTATGACTCACTTGTGGCCCGGTGGCCTGGTGGCTAAAGCTCCCGCTTCACACACGGAGGGCCCGGGTTCGATTCCCGGCGGGTGGAAACATTCCGACACGTTTCCTTACACCTGTTGTCCTGTTCACCTAGCAGCAAATAGGTACCTGGGTGTTAGTCGACTGGTGTGGGTCGCATCCTGGGGGACAAGATTAAGGACCCCAATGGAAATAAGTTAGACAGTCCTCGATGACGCACTGACTTTCTTGGGTTATCCTGGGTGGCTAACCCTCCGGGGTTAAAAATCCGAACGAAATCTTATCTCTTACTTGCCGCGAGTTCAAGCCCCACCCGTACCTTGGTTTGTCAAAATAATTCTATACCGTTTTGATATTAAGCAAGTAGCAAAAATGGTACCTGAAACCTTCTTATAAGTAGGATACTCGTGCGTTGAAATTTTCAAGCCCATCAGAGATAAGATTTTGTTTGGATTTCTAACCCCGAGGGGTTAGCCACCCAGGATAATCCAAGAAAGTCACTGCGTCATCGAGGGACTGTATCTTATTTCCATTGGGATTCCCAGTCTTGTCCCCCAGGATGCGACGCACACCAGTCGACTAACACCGAGGTACCTACGTGTTTGGTAGGTGGACGGGACAAAAGGTGTAAGGAAACACTCCCAATGTTTTCACCCTTTCCGGGGATCGAACTAAGGACACTCAATGTGTGAAGCAAGAGCGTTGCCTACCAGGCCACGGGTTTACCTGGAGTTTACCTGGAGAGAGTTCCGGGGGTCAACGCCCCCGCGGCCCGGTCTGAGACCAGGCCTCCTGGTGGATCAGAGCCTGATCAACCAGGCTGTTGCTGCTGGCTGCACGCAAACCAACATACGAGCCACAGCCCGGCTGATCCGGGTCAAGAGCTTTTGGAAGTTATGGCACGGAAAACAATTTCTGGAATGGTCTACTTAAGTATCAATGAGCAGAGGACACTTGACAATTGTTCCACGAATCTTCACCTAGTAATAGTTCACCAGGGTTGAAAATTAGAGGCTAACCGGATAATGTGAGCTTTGGGATCTATAAGTATCCGATGAGTTGGTGCAACCGTTGGTACAGGAGAAAGTTGTAATTTAGACAAAAATAAATTCAGAGTCAATACGAGCATGGAAGATCGCTGTGTTTTGCTCCAACGATATATATATATATAATATATATATATATATATATATATATATATATATATATATATATATATATATATATATATATATATATATATATATATATATATATATATATATATGTCGTGCCGAATATGTAAAACTGGTCAATTAGCAAGAACTCTTTTAAAATTAAGTCCTTTCTAAATTTTTCTCTTATACGTTTAAAGATATATTTTTTTTCATTAATGTTGATGTAAAAAAATTTAATTTTGCACCAAAAGTAACTTAGAAAATTTACCTAACCTTATTATAACAAGCGCAATTTATTTTAGCCTAACCCAACAAAATATATTTTAGATTTGTTTACAATAATTTAATACTAAACAAACACAATGAAATATATTTTTTTGTTAGGTTCAGAATGATTTTGGCGAAATTATTGCATACACAAATTTTCACTTGTCCTATATGGCAAGATGAGCGTTGCTATTTAAGCCAAGATCGCAAGTTCTGCCTATTCGGCACGACATATATATATATATATATATATATATATATATATATATATATATATATTAGAGCCGGAAGGAATTTCGGGGGTCAACGCCCCTGCGGCCAGGTCCATAACCAGGCCTCATGGTGGATCAGGGTCTGATCAACCAGGCTGTTACTGCTGGCCGCAGGTAAACCGACGTACGAGCCACTACCCGGCTGGTCAGGAACTGACTTGAGGTGCTTGTCCAACACATTCTTTAAGACAGCCAGCTCTCTTCATGCTGAAGACAGCAATTTCCCTGAACGAACCTTTCTGGATTTCCTGCTCTGATTTTGCAACACTGCAAACTCCTGATGATGTGTTGAGTGTAACACGAAAGGCCTAGGGCTATCATTCAACACCCCCTGTGGTTATTTTGCATCTTTTATCACTCGTTCGCGATTTTTGCACAATCACTAATTGACTTCCTTCTGCAGGAACAGGGCGGGAATCGTGGTTGGAACTGCCGGACTTGTGATGTTCTTCAATCTGATGTTCTTCTTCCCCTCCATCAGTGACGAGAACTGCCACAACTGTAAGATATTATATATATATGACTGTTTCTACTGTAATGTTGAGTTGGGTGAATATATCTTAGCGATCACAGCTTGGGGAGTTAGGGGAGCAATAGCAGTAATCCCACAAGCTGAATCCCAATAAAAAAAATATTAAAGGGTTAATTGCCTTATTTTATTTTTAATTAATTGCTGCTACCACCTACTCTAATCAGTATAAGAAAGAAAGGGACAATAAGTCCGAGTAGAAGACAGCCTAAATGGAAACGGCACTTGTACAAATAATTGTTTCTCTTTAAGTTTTCCTCTATTTCTTCTTTGCCTCATGTACTCCTGAGCAATGAACATATTTTGGGTTTGGTATATTGGTATATATTTTTTCTAGTTATGTTCCTTTGCACAAATAACACATTTTGCCTGGATTTATTATACATCTTTTGTACGTAACATCTTGTAAAATGTAAATCACACACATTGTAACCTTAAAGAAAGAAATATTGTATTGTATGCAATTAGTAGTCAGGTGGGTGAATTCAAAACATTGTTCCAACACTGGAGATTACTAACTAGGTGTCCAATCACCCAAAACCGTTTGCTAGAATTGACTTCACACTGTCAGTTGTCTGGAAGATAATCTTAAGCGTAAGGTAACATCCTACTCTCCTTGCTGAGCCCATCCTTTGTAAATATTTGTAGTAGTAAAGTTAGAAAAATAACATAACAGGAAAGTTCAGAATGATCAGTAAGACAACAAAATACAAAGGACTGTGTTATGCACGTGTTATGGTGTGTTATGAATGTGTTATGCTGTGTTATGCATGCGTTATGCTGTGTTATGCATGTGTTATGTTCTGTGTTATGCATGTGTTATGATCTGTGTTATCCATGGGACGGAGAACGAGCTCAGAGTACAGAACAGTCGTTGTGGTGGAATGGCGTCCCGTAGCTTGATTGCTAGCGCACTCAGTTCACACACTGAGGTCCATGGTTCGATCCCGGTACGGGTAGAAGCATTAGGACGTGTTTCCTTAAGACACCTTTGTTCACCTATGAGAAAATAGGTACCTGGGTGTTAGCTCTGCATAATAAGGGCCTTTCTATGTAGTAGTATGTCACTGATATCACCTAGGCCTGTTTACGTTGTACATGTACTTGTAGAAATAAAGATTATTATTATAAGGATATATTGCAGTTGAAGGTTATAAGCACCCAACCATCAGGACGTCGCTAGGGAAGGAAGTCTGATCAACTTGAATTAATCTCCGCCTCTGGGATCACTTAGAGTGAATGATAATCCCCCTTCTCTTTTGATGGGGTGAAGCTCTAGACTATATATTGACGTATACGTCAAGATACATATACTACAACAGCCTACTCAGCTTAATAGCGACGTTAACTGTGCTAGGGCTTGTGACAAGCACATATACTATAGCTACTTACTCGGCTTCAGTGTACGTAACAGCGACGTTCGGTGCGAGGCTTAGTGACAATTTCGCTATAGCGTTGTATCCCCTCAAGGAAGGTTCCTTGATGTTGGTGAGGGGCTCTTGATTTAGGGAATTTGATCTGTGCTCCAGTTCCCCGAATTAAGCCTGAATGCCTTCCACATCCCCCCCCCAGGCGCTGTATAATCCTCCGGGTTTAGCGCTTCCCCCTTGATTATAATAATAATAATAATAATATAGCGTTGTATTCAGGTAATGTGTTTGCTAGGCTTGCCTTTGCTTATTAACGATACTTCTAAAAATTCTAAATCTACCGTAGACCCAGGTTTCCAAATGCATACTATGACCTCATTTTACAATAATTTAATAATATCATAAAAACTTGTGGCTACATCAGAAAAAAGTCTTACGTACTGTTTAACTTTTTTATTACGTGGAGTAGAGCTTTCAAGTTATTAGTAAATAATAATAAATACAAGGATAATAATAATAATAATAATAACAATAATAATAATAAACCAAGAGGTTTGTGTTTCTCTGTGTGTATAAACTTAGTTTAATCCCTGTTTTAGCGTTCAGTTATTATTATTATAATCAAGGGGAAGCGCTAAACCCGTAGGATTATACAGCGCCTGGGGGGGGGGGGAATGTGGAAGGCATTCAGGCTTAATTCGGGGAACTGGAGCACAGATCCAATTCCCTAAATCAAGAGCCCCTCACCAACATCAAGGAACCTTCCCTGAGGGGTTAGCGTTCAGTATTTGTGACCGGTGGTGATCAGTTTACATGTAACTTTAATGAGCCTCGTGTAGTCGATAGGCTTCAAACCCAACTAACCAACCAACACTTGTAATAACAGTTTCAATTTCACCTAGACATCCTTCATTACAGACTACCTGCAGAGGGCCCTGAAGGGTCCTACAGCTCAGGACGACCCAGAACTCCTACGCTGGGTGCGAGGGATGGTTGTTCCTCCCTCTAGGTTACCCTATAACCTCTCCTTCTTCATGAGTGGTCTCCATCAAGAGAAAGCCAACGCTACTACCTACAGCCCCTCACAGGAGTTTATTCTGGATAAGCTCGAGGATATTTTTGGTGACAAAGTAGGTTTGTGTTGTGTTGTGTGTGGTTGTTAGTCTGTAATAATAGTAGCTGCAAGTGTGGTTTGGGTAATTATATAGGTGGGTGTTCCCACACTTCAGCATATATATATATATATATATATATATATATATATTATATATATTATATATATATATATTATATATATATATATATATATATATTTATATGTATATTCAACGCATCAGCCGTCTCCTACTGAGGCAGGGTGACCCGAAAAAGTATCACTTTCATCATTCACACTATCATTGTCTTGCCAGAGGTGTGCAGATACGACAGTTCAGATAACCCACCAAATAGCAATTATCCCAACCTCACCTTCAGAGTGCAGACACTGTACTTGTCACCGCCAGAACTCAAGTCCTGGAGATAATTTTTTAGGTGACATTTTTGATGAGATTCAGTGTGAAAATTATTATTATTATATTATTATTATTATTATTATTATTATTATTATTATTATTATTATTATTATTATGTGAGCAAATCACCAGCAGGAGGCTTACAGGGCATTACCTGAATTATTACCTGCAAGTAATATGGGTGAGGAAAGTGGGACTTAAGTCACAGCAGGTCAATGAACTGTAACTTCCTCGATGCCCACTCCCAACCACTCTCACAAAAAGCTAGACCTGACATTAAATTAAAAATTATATTTTTAAAATCAGCTGCTCTGGTAAATTGAAGTTGTGGACTGTATGTGATATGGCTTGCTGGGCACACAAAATTTAATTGTATTAACAATTACCATTTAATTACTGTAGATGGATCACACCACACACCTGCCTAATACCTAGACCCTACACTTGCCAGCTAGAGATCTAAATGCAAGGACTAATGGTGTACTTCCCTGTGAGTGATGGTCTCTTGCTGAGAAATGGCATTACCAGCTAAGCTTAATTTTAAATTTAAATATAGGGAACACTTAGCTGATAAAAGACAGCAAATCGTCTACACAGCCGCCCCTGCAGACGAGGTCTTGAATTGTTGTCATGATCAACTCTCAACGGGCTGTAATGAGTTATAATTTGTAAGATTATAAATTACCCCTAGGGGGTGTTATGTCAGCATATTTCATTCACTGATGGCTGACAAACTTGTGTGGACTCAAAAGTCCGCACCTAACTGCCGACTATAGGTTGATTACAAACTCCTTGCGACTCAAGAACTGCGCAGTCCCCCGTACTACAAGAAATTCGTAACCTACCTTGCTCTTGTAGCGTGAGCTATGGTGTTCTTCACTACTTCGACAGATATCGGTGACTTGATAGAAGCTGAAGTGTCCTTGGATGTCCACGTCTTCCATAGTCTAGGAATACGCACACTGGTACACTGTGTTCCACAAGATTTGTCTTTATTGTTCACAATCTTATCACTAAAGAAGCTGATCACACTTCTCTTATGTGTTTATTGTGTTTTATGAGACACTTTGTTCACACTAACGCACAGATCGTTCTTTGTTGGTTATCCTGGCGTCAGTGTCACCCTCAGTAGTCAAAAGTAATCTGAAGATGCCACAATGCCCCACGCCGTTACTGCCCCTTGCCCAAAGGAAAAGCTGACATAGTACTTTTGCTTCCTTGCCACTTCCTCGATGAAGCAAAGCAGAATGTTTGATTCTTGCTGTCTTAAGCATAGACAACAATGTCCACTATCTTTACTATGGTAATAAAGTGGGAGCAGGATTTTCCTTAATTGTCCTGCTAAGGTAAGAGATGGACTGTCTTTTATTAAACTACACTTTGCAACACTGCAAGGAGCGTCGGTCGAAGCGACCACGTCCCATACTCATACTGCATCTGCTATCAATTACTCGCTGCAGCAGTAAACAAGATGCTTGCCCCTTCTGAGAGGGCTGGGCCCCTCAAGGCTGAAAGGGGGCTGAAGGGGGCTGATAACCCCCTCCTGGAGAAAATTTCTCCACATCTCTTATCTTCCACCATCCACACATAATTCTTGAGATCCTGCAAATTTCCTGTCCTGGTTATTCAGCAGGGGACATTAACACGGGTTCCTAATTACAAATTCAGGTCGAAACCCCCAATATGGCTCGGAGGACGCCAGATTTTTAGCAGAATTTCCCACGACAATCAGTGTTCAGTTTACAAATGACATCCCCTGTCCGCGTCACTCTCCGGCTGCTCCACACCCCCTTCACTTAAAATTTGTTGAAGGATCCAAACAGCATCATATTTCATTACACAATTATTGTATTATTCAATCATATGTTCTACGTCTAGGAAATTATGTAAAAAAAATCCACACAGGGAAACCGGTTAGCTGGACTCGAGTCCTGGAGGCGGAAAGTACAGTGCCAGCATTCTGAAGGATGGATGGCAGTGTTGCAGTTCGGAGGCTCACTTGAATTACGATAACCTCTCTTGTCTGGCGAGACAGTTATTAAATGAATGATGGTTAATGTGTTTCCTTTTTCTGGGCAACCCTGATTTGGTGGGAGACGGTCGGTGTGGCCAATAATTTCAACGCTGTCTCTCTCAGATCATGCAGCCACGCAGGTTTCTGGAAGCTGGGGCGTATGATGGAGAATTTCTTTCCAACACACTGTACCTGGAACACGAATTTAATTGGCGGGGCATCCTGGTGGAGGCCAACCCTGTCTTCTTCCAGCAGTTGCTGCTTAAGAGACGCAAGAGTTGGGCACTCAATGTGTGCCTCAACACCAAGCCATACCCCTCCCAGGTGTGTGTGGTGATTTACAACTGTGTGTGGTAATTGAAAGGTGCATTTGGTAGTTTATAACTGTGTGTGATAATTTACATGTGTATGTGGTGGTTTACAGATGTGTGTATGTGATGCTTTACAGATGTTTGCATTAGCTTCCAGTTATGTAGGCTAACAAGGTGTGTACAATAGCTTCCAAATGTGTACGGCACCCTGCAGTTGGGTAGGACAACTTCATAGTATGTACGTTAACTTTTAGCTTTGTACATAAGCTAATTAAGCATACCACGATACCCGTGGAATGCATACACCATAACTTTCATCTGCATGTGATACTGGAAACTCATTAATGTTGATGTTTGGGATAGAGGAAGGAAGGAGAGGCGATGGACTTGCAAATAAGAGGCTCACCGCATCGCATAATTAACGTCCACCTCAATCCCACAGGAGAGTTTCATGATGGGATCAGACTCCCCTGAAAGAGCCAATCATCTGTACGGAGCATCGGAGGGAGATGCAGTCAACGTGCTTCTGGAGAAACACATCTCACTTGGGTCTTCAAGGCTACTCCAGTTTAAGGACAATACAACCCAGGTGTGTGTGTGTATGTGTACTCACCTGTTTGAGGTTGTATGGGTCGATTCACAGCTCCTGGCCCGGGCTATTCACTGGTCTCTGCTCCATGATTATATATATTATAATCATGGGGAGCACTAAACCCGTAGCATTATACAGCGCACGTGGGAAGGGGGGAGTTGGAAGGTATTCAGGTTCAATTCAGGGAACTGGAGCACAGATCCAGTTCGCTAGATCAAGAGCCCTTCACCAGCATCAAGGAACCTCCCTTGAGGAGCTCTGCTCCATAATCTTATCGTATCTCTTCTTAAAGATATATATGGATTCTGCCTCCACTACATCACTCTGCAGTGTGTGTATGTGCGTGTGTACTCACCTATTTGTACTCACCTATTTGTGGTTGCAGGGGTCGAGTCCTAGCTCCTGGCCCCGCCTCTTCACCGGTTGCTACTAGGCCCTCTCTCTCCCCGCTCCATGAGCTTTATCAAACCTCGTCTTAAAACTGTGTATGGTTCCTGCCTCCACTACGTCATTTTCTAGGCTATTCCACTGCCTTACAACTCTATGACTGAAGAAATACTTCCTACTATCTCTCTGACTCATTTGTGTCTTCAACTTCCAATTGTGGCCTCTTGTTTCTGTGTCCCCTCCCTGGAACATCCTGTCTTTGTCCACCTTGTCTATTCCACGCAGTATTTTATATGTCGTTATCATGTCTCCCCTGACCCTCCTGTCCTCGTGTGGTCAGGCCGATTTCCCTTAATCTTTCCTCATAGGACATTCCCCTTAGCTCTGGAACTAACCTTGTCGCAAACCTTTGTACTTTCTCTAGTTTCTTGACGCGCTTTATCAAGTGCGGGTTCCAAACAGGTGCTGCATACTCCAGTATGGGCCTGACATACACGGTGTACAGTGTCTTGAATGATTCCTTACTGTGTGTGTGTGTGTGTGTGTGTGTGTGTGTGTGTGTGTGTGTGTGTGTGTGTGTGTGTGTGTGTACCTACTTTCTTGTTAGGTAAACGATGACAGAAAATGTAAGGAAACGCGCCCAATGTTTCCACCCGGCCGGGGATCGAACCACGGACACTCGGTGTGTGAGGCGAGAGATTTGTATACCAGGCTTCATTCTGTGTCCTTTCGGTTTTGATTCTTTCATTTCACATAATCTGTCCCTATCCGAGTTTTTCGTAAGTTGTACTTATATTTTCCCTCGTCTTCCTCGCTTCCAGAATGGTCAGGTTTGATTCATTTAATCTCGCCTCATAGTGCACACACTTCAGTTTTAGAACTGGTGTAGGAGCTAAAATTTAACTGTTCTTTCTCATTTGAGCATGTCTCATTGTTAATCAAATGGTGGCTCCACACTGGTGCTGTGTATTCAGAGATGAGGCTAAAATATGTTGCATACCGAGCCGCTGAAGTCAGGCAGTTCATGTGGCTCTCCGGAAACAGGTTTGAAGTGATTTTCACTCACAGATTCCCTAATTCCATCGATGTTGATATGTTCTCCCCTTCCAATCATATCTGAACTCCCCTCTTTTCCAATTTATATTATTGTGCCATTTTTTTTATTGATTACCCCTGCAGCTTGTCTAAGTCTCCCTGTAGCCCCATCCCATTTCTTCCGGTGGCATTTAGGCATATTAGGTATCCCCTTCGGGGATACCTAATAACATGTTGTAATAACATGTCTATAATTACTATCGCATTTGCTTTGTTTCGTGAGGTGAGGTCTAGGATCTTTCCTTAATTCATGGTATAACTTAAATCTATGAGGACAATTGTGTTGTAGAGGTCTGAGCTTTGCTTGGACCTCTGTATATACACAAAAAGATCGCAGCCAGCAGGATTCGAATCCACGTTTGGACGCTAACCCTGAGTGTTGCTTGGCTCCCTACGTGACGCCTTAAATCATTCAGCTACAGATGCCTCAAATAGGTAGCATGCTTGCAAGCCATGTTTCTTCCTAACGCCAGGCACACCTGTGAGCCTCAATCATGGTTTCTTGCTGTTTTATTCTCCTGTATACTATGGCCCCACGAGCGATACTATATCAATGCACCTCGCAGAAATAAGCGAAAATAATTATAGAGAAATCTCGCAGCCAGCAACGTACAGGAGAATGAAACAGCTAGAGACCATGCTAGAGGCTCACTGGTGTGCCCGGCGCTAGGAAGAAACATGGTTTGCAAGCAGGCTACCTAGTATTTTGAGGAACCTGTAGCTAAGTGGTTTAAGGCGTCAATTGGACGCTCGTGGATAGCGTCCAATTGTTTTCGTTATGTTCAGGTTGATTTTTGCAGATTTATTACGAGTTCTTTTTATGACCGAGGCCTTCCGCTGTATTACTTGTTCTCCTCTTTAAAATTAAAGATAACGTCATTTGGTATTGGTAAGTATTCCATGAAGATGCAACCCACTTATCTCTGTTTCCTTTGATGTGCTGCCCCCAGCAGGAAGGTCAACTAACAGAGGTGCAGTGTGTTCCCCTATACACCGTGATGAAGGCTATGGGCATGACCCACATTGATTTTCTCTCTCTTGACGTGGAACAAGCAGAGATGGGCATACTCGACACCATACCCTGGGACAAGGTCTCTTTTACGGTAAGTGGTGTTGGTGGTGCAGGTGTGCAACCAGGCTCAGAGGACAGGGGGGTTATGATATCACTTTTGCACACGTAATTGATTCAAACAAAAATGTAACATTTTATTGTTCTTTAGTTAGTCATGTATATGGAAGTAAATAAACGTAGGTGAAACTTATTTAAAACAAAAAAATATTTGGCAGATGGTTTGGTGATGTTTGTCAGGAAACAGGACAAATGTTTCCTGACGCGGGTCTTAGTCACATGATGACCCGCAGCTGGAGCTTTTGGTTATCTGACCGAGGCCTTCCACTAGCTAACTCCTCCACCCCTTTAAAAATAATGGTTATGATTATCTTGGCAAATTGCAGACCATCTGATTAAAATATGAGCTTCATTTTATAAAGAAACGGTGTGAAATACAATAGAGAAAATTATATTTCATTTAGGCTACATGTTGGTCTCACTGAACCATACATCAATGTGGTATGGAATGACTCAACTAAAACAGCTGTAGTCTGCGCTATTGTGATAATTTGCTTAGAAGTGTGACAATATATAAATTATTCGTGCGCCGAGATTCAAAGGCAAGAAAGGAATGTTCTGCTGTCCGACCAGACGAGATGCCTTGACGTGATGGTTGGTTAAGAGGCTCGTAAGTTCCCCAGTCTTCTAATATCATGTTCATTTTTCCACTATAATTTACCTTGTCCATAATTACTATCACATTTGTTTTGTCTGTTTCGTAAGGTGAAGTCCAGGATCTTTCCTTAATTCATGGTATAACTTAACAAATCTTTGATGACAATTGTATTGTAGAGGTCTGAGGCTCTAAATATAAATTTGTCCAGATTGAATCCATTTCTCCGAGTCCTGTCTTGTTTAGATATTTTCAGCACGTTATTTATATCCCCCTTAATTTTTCTTATATCCATACATAAGCTGTAACAATGTCTGCCCTAATTTTGAGTATTAGTATATCCTTGACTTGTGGTAAGCACTCTACATACAACTTAACGACCCTTAGTGTAGTCGATAAGCATTAACCCAATAAACGCTTATAGATGTCACTGTATAAGGTATAGTCTCATGTCACTCTTGACGTGTATACACAGAGAGCAATAGTGTATATAAGCATGGAGAGATGTATTGATCTTAATTTATATATACTCGAGTTTAATGTAAACTATTTTTTTATATTTTATTTAAAACCAATACAGTTTAACATAAAAATAAAGAAACAGTATGGATCTCAATCAAATTAACTGACAAACGGATTGCACCTATATGCTGGCAAGATATTGCTGCCAAACATACAACAACAACTTACGGCAAGAACATAACTAAAAAAAAAAAAACTGTCACAGGGTCATGAATTGACATATATACACATTCATTGATGCAAAACCTTACATATATATAAATTGTACATATAACATGACATCTGACAAAGGCTCAATACACTTGAACATAAAATATACAAAGAAGTTATATCAGTTAAATCCCATCCTTCACATTAATCAAAAAACCAAAACATCATAATCTTACTAGAACATCTACAGACGTATCCCTAACACTACAGCTTTACATGTACCAACATACAAATAAACAGAAAAAGAATACAGCTTAGAACACAATAACTGAAGCTCTATACTGTTACAATAAACCCATATACAAAATCTCAGACACAAAAGGACTACGTCACTAAACTGTCTAGATATGTCTGTATACCATACAGACTAAAACTTAACATCAAGAACTTAGCATCAACACCAAACCGGTATCAGGGTACAGACCATAATTATAAACTTTAAAAAGAATCGAATCATACATATATAAAGTATTACATAACGTCTGACCCATGACAAAGGCTCAATACAATAGAAAGGGATATATATATATATACACACACCCACACACACACACACACACACACACACACACACACACACACACACACACACACACACACACACACACACACGCACGCACACACACACACACACACACACGCACACACACACACACACACACACGCACACACACACACACGCACACACGCACACACACACACACACACACACACACATCAGGCACACATAACAGGAAAGGCGCTGCAATGGATAAGAGAATACCTTACAGGGAGGCAACAACGAGTCATGGTACGTGATGAGGTGTCAAAGTGGGCGCCTGTGACAAGCAGGGTTCCACAGGGGTCAGTCCTTGGACCTGTGCTGTTCTTGGTATATGTGAATGACATAACGGAAGGGAAAAAAAATCAAATCGGATGAGGATCAGGCAGGACTACAAAGAGACCTGGACAGGCTACAAGCCTGGTCCAGCAACTGGCTCCTTGAGTTTAACCCCGCCAAATGCAAAGTCATGAAGATTGGGGAAGGGCAAAGAAGACCGCAGACACAATATAGTTTCGATGGCCAAAGTTTGCAAACCTCACTCAAGGAAAAAGATCTGGGGGTGAGTATAACACCGAGCATATCTCCTGAGGCGCACATCAATCAGATAACTGCTGCAGCACACGGGCGCCTGGCAAACCTACGGATAGCGTTCCGATACCTCAGTAAGGAGTCGTTCAAGACTCTGTATACCATTTACGTCAGGCCCATACTGGAGTATGCAGCACCAGTTTGGAATCCACACCTAGTCAAGCACGTCAAGAAATTAGAAAAGTGCAAAGGTTTGCAACAAGACTAGTCCCAGAGCTACAGGGATTGTCCTACGAAGAAAGGTTGAGGGAAATCGGCCTGATGACACTGGAGGCCAGGAGGGTCAGGGGAGACATGTTAACGACATATAAAATACTGCGCGGAATAGACGAGGTGGACAAAGACGGGATGTTCCAGAGATGGGACACAGACACAAGAGGTCACAATTGGAAGTTGAAGACTCAGATGAATCAAAGGGATGTTAGGAAGTATTTCTTCAGTCATAGAGTAGTCAAGCCGTGGAATAGCCTAGAAAGTGTAGTAGTGGAGGCGGGAACCATACATAGTTTTAAGGCGAGGTATGATAAAGCTCATGGAGCAGGGAGAGAGAGGACCTAGTAACAATCAGTGAAGAGGCGGGGCCAGGAGCTATGACTCGACCCCTGCAACCACAAATAGGTGAGTACACACACACACACGTACACACAAAAACTTTCACAAAATCAAATTAATCAGATGCACTGTATGCACAAAGCAAAACAGTATATAAAGTATATCTCATCATGCAAAAACCCAGCACGTAACATAAATACAAACTAAAACACACTTCCTGTCGCAAATAACTTATTACTCAAGAATCATGTCATACAAGACTGATACACATCAAAATTATACATAAAAAAATCTACTATATTATACCTACATTCTGAAAAGTGTTATATCTAACATAACGAGACCTTGAGCTCTACATCCACACTTGGCTGCCAGAGTCTCAATGAAAACCAGGAAACCATTCCAAACCCACATTCACAACACTCTCACGACCCCCCCTTCCCAAAGGAGGCGAGCCCGCTGTGACCCCCTGACTCCCTCAAACCTATGAAAACCCCTTCACTCACTCATTATCAATCACAGATTTACGAGAATCCCTAACGTTAGCATTCTATATCCCTCTGAGAAAACCTGATCCCACCTCCTCCCATACAAATCTCTGTTACGACACATCGTACGATAGAACGTTACCGCCAGAACCTTCCTTCTCTCCTCACTATCCCCTCTCCCCCTCATCACCCACGACATATATATATAATCTACCATGATATAATCTAAAGCTCTTATGACGCCCTCGTCTAACCCACCCATATCTAGACTTAGAGCACGCAAAACCGACACCCCACGGCCCCCCACCCTCTGTACCAACCTACTTAACCAGCACCTAACCTCCTCTAGCCCTTCACAAAAGTAAACTACATGGAACGCTGTCTCATCCCCTCCACAGATACCACACCCCCCACCCTCTACAGCCTGTCTGTTTCGTAGTATCTCACCAGACGGAAGGATCCCATGCAGAAAACGAAACATCACCTCATGCGCCCGAGGGTTTAACTTCATTTTACTAAATCTAAACCAAATACTCTTCCACGCATACATGGGGAACAAACCCTCAACTGGGATAACGCACCTACCTACTTGCCACGGGTATGCATCCGTGGCACTTCCAAATAATTGCACAACCTCGTCCAACACTCCCATTGACATCCCTTCACGAATGAGAGCAGTGGTGTCGTCAACATATCCAATTAAACCCGGCCAGGCCCTCCCACCCCCCACACTTCCCTCACATGGCGTACATAAGCTGCGGTCAACCATTCTATAAAAGGGGTCCTGGAAACACGCAAACAATATTTGGGACATGGGGCATCCCTGTCTAAGGCCTCTACCCATTGCAGTATCCCTCCCCATACACCCATTAATCTGTATCCTCATTTTCGCCCCCTTGTATAACGTATTTACCCACTCAACTATTTCTCCCCTAAAACCCTGTCTCCTAAGTTATAACCGCAAAACTCCCTTTCCACTCTATCATATGCTCCCTGCCAATCTAGAGCCAACAAGCCGCCCCTCCCACCCCCACCCTTAGCTTCCACAAAACTTCTCAGTATCCCATGTCCTTCAATCATCGACCTTCCCGGCAACCCAAACTGAGATTCTGACACGACCCTTCCCACCACACATTTGAACCTATTACCTAAAATTTTTGCAAACACCTTATAGTCTGCGCACATCAGTGATATGCTCGGTACTCCCGAAGGGTGGGCTGCCCCTTGACCTCGGACCAACACTAACAACTGCGTTACCTGCTTCTCCCCAACTTACCCTTCTCCTTCATACGATTAAATAACCTAACTATAAATCCCCTTATTAACGTCCAATGTTGTAAATAAAATTCTACCGGGAGACCGTCAATACCCGGTACTTTCCCCTTCCTCATTCCCCTTAACGCATTCTCTATTTCCTCTGCCGTAATAGGCCCACCTAAAGCCTTTCTATCACTATTTCCTAAATTACACGTCACATACGTACACACCTTGTCCAACGCCACGTCACCCTCCCTCCCCACTGATCCAGTACTTCTCGTACCAAGCCTCCGCATACGCACACATCCCCTTCGTGGTTCGTATCTCCTGCCCTGCTCTATAATTCCCAACCATCTCCGTTACCTCTAAACATGGGATAGCTGTCACCGCCTGCCTTTGCTTTTGATGCCGCAAAACACACGCCGACGGCTTGTCGCCCAAAGCACTTCTTCCAACCCTGCCTGCACCCTTACAGCTTGAAACCTTTCATTTTGCAACACCCTCAACCTCCCCTTTATTTCAGCTATTTCATCCACAGGAAAATTATTCCCGCCCACCCCCCGCCCATAGCAACCTCTTAACTTATCCTCTAAATAGTTAGCCAGTCCATATTTTAAATTATTAATACGTTTTCCTTCTCTCACATAAAACTTTCTAATCCTTTCCTTTGCAACACTATCCCACCATGTCACAATGCCATCCACTCCCTGTTCTTCCACACTAAGCTCCCTCCATAGGACTGAAAACCCCTCCAACCCCTCCTCATCACCTAACACACTTATATTCTTACACTGACAGCTGGTGTGACGCTAAGACTTACGTCCTGAAACCTGGTGACTAACGATTCATAAACCGTAGCTGATAGCAGTTTGACGAAAATTCTTTGGCCTCCGTTTAATGCTACACCATGCAAGTCACTATCTTGTATGCCATATGTCTCCCGGATGATCTTTGGCAATAAGACTTGCGCAGAAAAGGCGTTATCGTTCCTTTAAGTAGCTCAATGCCTACAGTATTTATTCGGCGTCTCAGACTAACCGCCATCTTGACAATCACAGTGCACCTATGTTGTTAACAGAGGCGTGACAGCACCACTTCACACCGCTGCAGCCAGGTAACTGACAAGGAAGCTCGCCTACAAACAGCAGAGGGGTGCAGAGCACAACCGCACTCTACCGTGGTCAGGCAGCGAATCTATGTAAACTATTAGAGATTAAAATATTTTGTTGGTATACCTGGAGTTTACCTGGAGAGAGTTCCACTGGTCAACGCCCCCGCGGCCCGGTCTGTGACTAGGCCTCATGGTGAATCAGGGCCTGATCAACCAGGCTGTTACTGTTGGCTGCACGCAATCCAACGTATGAACCACAGCCCGGTTGGTCAGGTACCGACTTTAGGTGCTTGTCCAGTGCCTGCTTGAAGACAGCCAGGGGTCTATTGGTAATCCCCCTTATGTATGCTGGGAGACAGCTGAACAGTCTTGGGCCCCTGACACTTACTGTATTGTCTCTTAACGTGCTAGTGACACCCCTGCTTTTCATTGGGGGGGATGTTGCATCGTTTGCCGAGTCTTTTGCTTTCGTAGGGAGTGATTTTCGTGTACAAGTTTGGTACTAGTCCCTCTAGGATTTTCCAGGTGTATATAATTATGTATCCCTCCCGCCTGCGTTCCAGGAAGTACAGGTTCAGGAACTTTAAGCGCTCCCAGTAATCGAGGTGTTTTACCTCAGTTATGCGCGCCGTGAAGGTTCTCTGTACATTTTCTAGGTCAGCAATTTCACCTGCCTTGAAAGGTGCTGTTAGTGTGCAGCAATATTCCAGCCTAGATAGAATAAGCGACCTGAAGAGTGTCATCATGGGCTTGGCATCCCTAGTTTTGAAGGTTCTCATTATCCATCCTGTCATTTTTCTAGCAGATGCGATTGATACAATGTTATGGTCCTTGAAGGTATACAGACGACAAGCAGCCTCGTTTATTTGTTAGGCCTTTAAACCCATTAAACCAATCAGCATAAAACAAAAAAAAAACACATCGTAATACAAATGATCCTTTCTTAAACAACTGTGCTGATGACCTCTGACCTTGTTACAGGTGTTGGCTATCGAACACATAACCTCAGATGACCTGACGGGGTACATGAAGGAGCGAGGGTATGAACATGTCGCCTCTAACTTGGGTGACCACATCTTCATCCACCAGAGTAATGCTGTGATCAAGGTGGAACCCAGCCACACCAACGACACCAGCCACACCAACGACACCAGCCACACCAACGACACCAGCCACACCACCCCGACCAAAACTGAAAATTTTTAAGCCGGTATCTAAACAAATCGCACTCTTGGAAAAATAAAGTTACACTAGAATGATGCAAGTTCTTAGATTAAGAAAATTGGAATATTTCATTTAATGACAACTGTCACAAAATTAAATTAGACTGTCATGCAAATTATGGTCAGAGTTAAATAATTGGCATATTAAAAATTTGCATAACAATGCTTCACCCTTTCCTGAGTTGGTAATCACCAGTTAAGGTCAATAAGTAATATAAAAACACTGAAAGTAAGCTGAAAGATTGAGACAATTATCAGGTCTGTTCTCTCTAATATTATAAGTTAGTAGGAAGCGAAATCATCAGATAAACTTACCAAGTTAATTCAAGAGGAAGAAAATGGGTGTATTATAGAAAAAACATAGAAAATGGGATATTTTTACCCCTTTTGTAAACAAAGATACTTCAGAAAATAATAAAAGTTTTATTTATTGTATTGTCATGTGTTGCTTATCCTCTTGATAATGTTGTTTAATATTACGAAATTGATTCTAGACATAGTTCTGACACTAACACATACCAATAATACTTGGAATTACCTGGAGAGGGTTCCGGGGGATCAACGCCCCCACGGCCCGGTCTGTGACCAGACCTCATGGTGGATTAAGGCCTGATCAACCAAGCTGTTACTGTTGGCTGCAGTTGATAAATTCAAACCAAGCCCCATTTTTTGTAGTCTTCTGAAGGTCTAAAACCTAGATCGAAATATATGATTTTTTTTTTATTCGCCGGTATTCTCCCGGCCCGGGTCTTTTCCAAGTAGTGGTGACCCGGCCTTGGCTCCCTATCTGGGGAGTGTCGGGGACCTAAGTCTCCCATGGGAGGAGGTACAAGTACCTCTTCATCTTTGGGACCAAGTGTCCCCAGGCCTAGCCACAGTCCCCGTCCTCACGGGGCTCGTAGGGAGAAGCTCGGCCTCTGAAGCACTTTAAGTCAGAGAACATTATTAAGACATTATCTCCTGTACGGTGTACTTTTTAAGTCAGTATTCCCTGAACGGAGGACTTTATGCGAGTATCCCCTGAATACACGACCTTTCTAGGTAGTAGTCCTTGAATGGATGTCCTTTTGGGCAAGTATCCCCAGAAGGGTATCTTACAAATCTCAATGCAATGGATTTTTTTAGGGGGGTAAATATCCCATAAATGGATGTTATTGGGTAAGTATCCTCGAAATGGACGTCTGTATCCCCTACACAAATTAATTTTAAGGCAAGTATCCCCTGTTTTGCTAGAACGTCGTTTTGGGCAAGTATTCCTGAACATGTCTTTTTGGGAAAGTATTCCCTGTACAGACGTCTTTTTGGGTGAGTATCCTCTGAACAAATGTCATTTTGGGTAAATATCCCCTGATGTCATTTTGAGTAAGTATCCCCTGAACAGATGTCATTTTGGGTAAATATCTCCTGAACAGATGTCATTTTGGGTAAATATCTCCTGAACAGATGTTATTTTGGGTAAATATCCCCTGAACAGATGTCATTTTGAGTAAGTATCCCCTGCAAGATGTCATTTTTAGGTATTCCCTAGTAATGAATACAGAAATAACGGCATTGATAAAATTAGGTTCTGGCAACACTCTAAATAAGAAATTATTAATTAATTGCTTTATTTATTAATTAATGTTTGAATTAATGTCCCATTTTCTATTTCGCTTGGGTGATTTTTTAATGGTAAACTGAGATAGTTTACATTAAAAACTAATTATTGTCATATTAATAGGCAGGGAAAGATTAATGAACGTTAAACGTGACAACCTACTGCCCCTGTTACTCAGCAGCAAATAGGTACCTGCTACCTCTGTCACCCAGTAGTAAATAGGTACCTGCTGTCTCTATCACCAGCATTAAAAAGGTGCCTAGTACCTATCCTGGGTTTTTATCCCTAAGAGTATACTAACCCAGGATAACCCAGGGATGCTAACCCAGGGTTACTAATTCACAGGAAGTCTTCTGTTGACAGAGCACCTATAAAGCTTTTCATGCGGCCAGCAATAACAGCCTGGCTGATCAGGCCTTGATCAACCGTGAGGCCTGGTCGCAGACCGGGCCGCGGGGGCGTTGACCCCCGGAACCCTCTCCAGGTATGCCTTAACAGTAAGGCATTATAAATGTACTTACAGATATAAATGTACTAACAACAGTTACAACCATTTATTGCAACAGTTATAACCAGTTATTATAACCCATTGTTACAATTACGACCAATTATTACAACAGTTACAACTAATTATTACAATTATAAACAATTATTACAACAGTTACAACCAATTATTACAACAGTTACAACAAGTTGTTTCAGTAACAACCAGGTGTTACCACAGTTACAGCAGTTTTTGGTGGCAGTTACCAGGTATTACAGCCAGTTACAACCAGTGATCACAGCCAGTTAAGTTGGTTACTGCATCCAGTTTCAGCCAGTTACTATAACAATTCCAATCAGTTAAAAACAGTTACCAGATAATATTTGTAGTTATTACCAATCATTAAAGCCAGTTCCAACCAGTTGTTACAGCAATTACAGCCAGTTACAACCAGTCATTACAGGTGGACCAGTTATTGACCTCCAGTATCGTAACCATTCACTGAAGGTCACCACCAAAGACCTTGTTAACACAGGTCATAAAGTTAGCCATGGTAGGTCACTCCTCGTCCTTATCACTGCAGGTCACGACACTTTACTACTCTGGCCAGTTCTAGGTCAACCGGGAAGGGGGGGGGGAGGGGGAGGGGATCATAAATCGAGGAACGGGTGAAAGAATTAAGTCAATGGTTTGTATCGAACATATTGGCTTCCGATAGTCCATACTGGGACCGTTTTATTGAGGTCCCCGTAGCTAGCAGCGATCTGCATTGTGGAGCTGTTGGCTGGGTGTCACACCGTGTGTGTGTGTGTGTACTCACCTAGTTGTACTCACCTAGTTGAGGTTGCGGGGGTCGAGTCCGAGCTCCTGGCCCCGCCTCTTCACTGATCGCTACTAGGTCACTCTCCCTGAGCCGTGAGCTTTATCATACCTCTGCTTAAAGCTATGTATGGATCCTGCCTCCACTACATCGCTTCCCAAACTATTCCACTTACTGACTACTCTGTGGCTGAAGAAATACTTCCTAACATCCCTGTGATTCATCTGTGTCTTCAGCTTCCAACTGTGTCCCCTTGTTACTGTGTCCAATCTCTGGAACATCCTGTCTCTGTCCACCTTGTCAATTCCTCTCAGTATTTTGTATGTCGTTATCATGTCCCCCCTATCTCTCCTGTCCTCCAGTGTCGTCAGGTTGATTTCCCTTAACCTCTCCTCGTAGGACATACCTCTTAGCTCTGGACTAGTCTTGTTGCAAACCTTTGCACTTTCTCTAGTGTCTTTACGTGCTTGGCTAGGTGTGGGTTCCAAACTGGTGCCGCATACTCCAGTATGGGCCTAACGTATACGGTGTACAGGTCCTGAACGATTCCTTATTAAGATGTCGGAATGCTGTTCTGAGGTTTGCTAGGCGCCCATATGCTGCAGCAGTTATTTGGTTGATGTGCGCTTCAGGAGATGTGCCTGGTGTTATACTCACCCCAAGATCTTTTTCCTTGAGTGAGGTTTGTAGTCTCTGACCCCCTAGACTGTACTCCGTCTGCGGCCTTCTTTGCCCTTCCCCAATCTTCATGACTTTGCACTTGGTGGGATTGAACTCCAGGAGCCAATTGCTGGACCAGGTCTGCAGCCTGTCCAGATCCCTTTGTAGTTCTGCCTGGTCTTCGATCGAGTGTATTCTTCTCATCAACTTCACGTCATCTGCAAACAGGACACACCTCAGAGTCTATTCCTTCCGTCATGTCGTTCACAAATACCAGAACAGCACTGGTCCTAGGACTGACCCCTGCGGGACCCCGCTGGTCACAGGTGCCCACTCTGACACCTCGCCACGTACCATGACTCGCTGCTGTCTTCCTGACAAGTATTCCCTGATCCATTGTAGTGCCTTCCTGTTATCCCTGCTTGGTCCTCCAGTTTTTTGCACCATTCTCTTGTGTGGAACTGTGTCAAACGCCTTCTTGCAGTCCAAGAAAATGCAATCCACCCACCCCTCTCTCTCTTGTTACTGCTGTCACCATGTCCATAGAACTCCAGTAGGTTTGTGACACAGGATTTCCCGTCCCTGAAACCATGCTGGCTGCTGTTGATGAGATCATTCCTTTCTAGGTGTTCCACCACTCTTCTCCTGATAATCTTCTCCATGATTTTGCATACTATACATGTCAGTGACACTGGTCTGTAGTTTAATGCTTCATGTCTGTCTCCTTTTTTAAAGATTGGGACTACATTTGCTGTCTTCCATGCCTCAGGCAATCTCCCTGTTTCGATAGATGTATTGAATATTGTTGAATATGTGTGTGTGTGTGTGTGTGTGTGGTTGCAGGGGTCGATTCATAGCTCTTGGACCCGCTTCTTTACTGGTCGCCACTAGATCCTCTTTCTCTCCCTGCTCCATGAGGTTTCTCAAACCTCTTCTTAAAACTATGTATGGTTCCTGCCTCCACTGCGTCACTTTCCAGACTATTCCACTTCTTGACAACTCTATGACTGAAAAAAATACTTCCCAAACATCCCTTTGGCTCATCTGAGTCTTCAACTTCCAATTGTGACCCCTTGTGTCTTTGTTTCATCTCAGGAACATCCTGTGTACTCACCTAATTGTAGTTGCAGGGGTCGATACTCAGCTCCTGGCCCCGCCTCTTCACTGAACGCTACTAGGTCCTCTCTCTCCCTGCTCCATGAGTTTTATCATACCTCGTCTTAAAGCTATGTATGGTACCTGCCTCCACTACATCGCTCGCCAGACTGTTCCACTTCCTGACCACTCTGTGACTGAAGAAATGCTTCCTAACATCCCTGTGGTTCATCTGAGTCTTCAGCTTCCAAAAGTGACCCCTTGTTTCTGTCTCCTCTCTGAAACATCTTGTCTCTGTCCACCTTGTCTATTCCACGCAGTATTTTGTATGTCGTTATCATGTTTCCCCTATCCCTCCTCTCCTCCAGTGTCGTCAGGCCGATTTCCCTCAACTTTTCTTCATAGGACATTCCCCTTAGCTCTGAAACTAACCTTGTCGGAAACCTTGGCACTTTCTCTAATTTCTTAACGTGCTTGACCCGGTGCGCGTTCCAAACTGGTGCTGCATACTCCAGTATGGGCCTGATATACACGGTGTACAGGTACTTAGGTATCGAAATGCTAATCTCAGGTTTGCCAGGCGCCCATATGCTGCAGCAGTTATCTGGTTGATGTGTGTTTCCGGAGACGTGTTCGGTGTTATAATCACACCAAGATCTTTCTCCTTGAGCGAGGTTTGCCGTCGTTGGCCACCTAGCCTATACTCCGTCTGTGGTCTTCTTTGCCCTTCTCCAATCTTCATGACTTTGCATTTGGCAGGGTTGAATTCGAGAAGCCAG